ACTAGGAACAAGAACGCTACTAGGGGCTCCTGGCCTTACTACTAGGAGCAAGAACGCTACTAGGGGCTCGTGGCCTTACTAGCAGGAACAAGAACGCTACTTTCTTTCTTTCTTTGAGCTCATCTCCAGCCATTGCTGGAGCCATGGGGACTGACGTGTGTTTACACACACGGAGGACGGTCCTGCCTCGTGCCCTGCACAGTTCTTCTATCAAAACGTCGAGACTGAACTCGACAGAACTCATTGCTGCTAGCTCACTGGTCTAAGCTGCATAGTTTCAGCGGCAGCATCCAGCAGCAGCGCAAGCTTATTCAGGTCCAAGGTTCAGCCAAGCATCGAGTCCTTGTGGGGACTCTTCATCCAGATCATCCGAGAGGCTTTCACGGGACCTGACTGTGCCGTAAATCATGCCATGTCGCTTGAGTTCATACTCATGGAATGCCTTCGCCGGCGTATAGTTCAGGATGGCTGGACATGTATGCGTTGGCAAACACGTAAGAGGGCCACCAATCAACGGCAAAGCTCCACATAGGAGGCACGGAGTCTCAACTCCTCTGAAATCAAGGCCAATCATGGCAACCGACCGGCTGTCTGGAGGAGGAGTGGCGCAAGAAGACATGCTTCAAGAGACTATGGCTGTCCAGGAATAGTTGGGCGCAGGCGCCGCATCTCACTGCAAAGCATCTGGTCAAATCATCAGCTGCCTCAAGAGACTGCCAATTGCGACTGTCCAAGAACTGCACCAGTCGGTGTACCTTAGAAGCATGTCCACGTACATAGAAGGATGGGGTTACAGTACGGCGTCGTGGAGCTCGAATCAACCATACGCAGATCCAATCGGCCAAACGAGGAGGTCTGGACATTGGGTGACTATGAGATTCAGCTCCATCGTCAAACACTGCCCAGCCTGATGTGTGAGGTGCCACACATTGGAGATGTCCTCGTTGGTCATGACCACGATGCACGATACAGGTAAGAAAAAACCTCAGTGCGGAGATTGTCGGACTCAGCAGAAATGAGAATTTCCACCTCAGTCAACTCCAGGTGCCATGCTGCTTTGATGCGATCTATCTGAAAGCAGATCAAAGGGCTGTCCTTTTCAAACGCCGTAATCGTGCCCATATAGGAATTCCATTCATCGATCAGGGACTGCAAGGTCACTTTTTCCGCAGTGACGTTACTGGTGGCCAGAGAAGGCGGGAGACAAGCTGAGCCGCTATCCATAACTCGAATCTGGTTGTCCATTTGCATCTTCCTCACCCAAGATCCAGAGAGAGCAGGAGGCTGAGTGAAGGCCAGAAAGGCTTTCAAGAATTCATGGGCATCATGCTGCTGTCCATCGAGCCATGGTTCAAGCCAAGCGCTCCAACTTTCAAGGTCACAAACGTCAACCCATAGTGAGCTGCGTGTGCACATATCCATAAGGAGCCGGGCTGCCCCACCCAGATCCGACCGTTTGCTGTTTTGCAAATGAAGAAATCCCCAAAAGAAGGCCAGCATTGTGGCATGCATGAAGCACCTGTTGTCAGGGTTGATCAGCCTAGGGCCAAAAAGCGTGCCCTTCACTTCCTCTTGATTTGACATCTTGACGTCCTGCTGCTTCGAGTATTTGGCCAATGAAGTGGCCAAGGGGTTCTCCCTCTGATTGCGCGGTCTCACCCTGGCTTGAATGATGAGCCAGATCGAGTTGTGAGAGAGGAGGTTGAGAGTCTCCCAAATGCTGCTCTCCGGGCAAGAACGGACAAATCTGCTGGTGCTTGATCTCGGTGGAAGTGTTCTTCAGAGATTTGAATCTCAGAATGTGGTGATCTTCTTGGGCTGCCTCGACCAGATCCTCGAGCAATTTCTGCATCTTGACCATATCGATGGCCGGCTTGTTGGTCTGCTTGACGCATTTGGATTCGCCGCACCACTGTAGGTAGGGCCGTTTAAGTAAAAAATCTTGTGTTTGATGCTCAAGAAACTCATCTTCATGAAAGGCAAGCATCGAAGTGGGCTCGGACTTGGGAGTGAGGTGGCATCCAGGTGCAGCTATCATCAAAAGAACCAGCAGAGGAAGAAACCAAAGCCGTGCCATGGCAGAGGTCACGGCCGATCTCCGCTGTTGGAGGGCTGCTCACGCACGGGCTTAAGAACGCTACTAGGGGCTCCTGGCCTTACTACTAGGAACAAGAACGCTACTAGGGGCTCCTGGCCTTACTACTAGGAACAAGAACGCTACTAGGGGCTCCTGGCCTTACTACTAGGAACAAGAACGCTACTAAGGGCTCCTGGCCTTACTGCTAGGAACAAGAAGCTACTAGGGGCTCCTGGCCGTACTACTAGGAACAAGAAGCTACTAGTAGCAAAGGGCATCGCTACCAGGAGCACGGACGCTACTAGGAGCAAGTCGGGCTAGCCTGCGGCCCATTTAAGTTATGGCCAAGTCGCTGGACAATAAAGGCCTTCCACATCTGGTGCAGCCATTGGGGCTACTGGCACTATTGCTGTAGGAGCCCCAGAAGCATGACAACAGGTATAGCGGAAACGGATCCACTTTCCTCCCTCAGAGAACTCGAAATGGAAGCCATTGAGCAAAGCGTCCTCAACGAACACGTGAGCACAATGGCTTTTCACAACAAAACATGCGTTTGTTCAACAAAGGCCAAACGCATCATGACATGATCTGTAAGCTTGTATATGTCTTGTTGCATCAACACTCTGTCGTTAAACTTTCCCAGCCTGAGGACACACCACTGAAAGTGAGCCCAGAGTTGCATAGGAGGTCCAATCCTTTACGTCCGCTTGGCTGGTAAATCCTTCAGTGCAACTTCCTAACCCGGCGACTGCACCACAGGCATAGAACAAATGCTCGCTTGATGCATTCAAATCCGTGAGGATCCTTCCTTCAGGGTGACAAAAAGGGAGGGCTGCACTTCAAAGAACGCTACGGTTACTACAATAAAATATGCGGATTTTAAAATAGCCGAACAGGTATTTTAGTGTACCTCCGTGCAGGATCTGCTGGGGCCGCCCAGCCATTAAAACATGCGGAAAAGACATGCGGAAAGGCATTTCTTGAATCATTTCACCAATTCGGACTAGAGTCAAGCTCAACAGAATCTTCTCTTGGCTGTGAACTAGAAAGCAGGTATTGGTTGCGTGCCGAGGCATTTGGCTGCCCTCAAGAGAACTGCGTGGACCCTCTTACGTGGACCTTGCCTCAGTCGACCTTCGTTTCATGCCTTTCCTTACATGGCCCCTGCTTACATACGCGACGCCCCCATATGTGGAAACTCTTACATGGACCCTACTTACGTGGACCCTCTTACTTGGACCTAGCTCCGTAGGTAGATAGTCACAACAACTTTCCTTTTGCGCAGCCTGGCATCATGGCCCTCCTTGCATGGACCCTCCTGCCCCTTGCTTAGACCCCCCATACATGGACCCTACCTAGGTGAACTCACTAAGCGTGCTACGTGGACCCTGGTTTTGTGGAGCCCCCTACGTAGAGCCCCTACATGGACTCTCTTACGTGGACCCTGCTTATGTGGACCCCCGTGGAGCCCCCTACGTGGACTCTCTTACGAAGATCCTGCTTATGTGGACCCCCCTACGTGGAGCCCCCTACGTGGACTCTCTTACGTGGACCCTGCTTATGTGGACCCCCCTACGTGGAGCCCCCTACATGGACTCTCTTACGTAGACCCTAGTTATGTGGACCCCCTACGTGGAGCCCCCTATACGTGGACTCTCCTACGTGGACCCTGCTTATGTGGACCCCCCCCACGTGGAGCCCCCTACGTGGACTCTCTTACGTGGACCCTGCTTATGTGGACCCCGTGGACCTTGCTTATGTGGACCCCCTACGTGGAGCCCCCTACGTGGACTCTCCTACGTGGACCCTGGTTATTATGTGGACACCCCACGTGGAGCCCCCGACGTGGACTCTCCTACGTGGACCCTGCTTATGTGGACCCCCCCAAGTGGAGCCCCCTACGTGGACTCTCTTACGTGGACCCTGCTTATGTGGACCCCGTGGACCCTGCTTATGTGGACCCCCCTATATACGTGGAGCCCCCTACGTGGACTCTCCTGAGCCCCCTACGTGGACTCTCCTGTGTGGACCCTGCTTATGTGGACCCCCCCACGTGGAGCCCCCTACGTGGACTCTCTTACGTGGACCCTGCTTATGTGGACCCCCCTACCTCGAGCCCCCTACGTGGACTCTCCTACGTGGACCCTGCTTATGTGGACC